GTGGAAATAACCCCCTTGACTTGAAGTCACACATTTCAATGCGTCGTTGTTCACGTTGTGTGTAGTCTGCAGTCCACGGCACAGCTGTGTTTTCGCAGTACTACACAGCTGCTGCAGGGCAGTTGTAAAACCTCAGCTCTCAGAGTGAATTCTCGCTTTGTTTTAAAACAAACTGCGGCTTTCCAGCCCTATCTCCTTTTTTTTTTCTTCATCTTCTCCCCGTGTCTTATGTCATTTGAGAAGACTGAGTGGTTCCACATGGGAAAGCCCACTGCTTCACACATCCGCCTGTAGCTGTAGGGATGAACTATGCTGTCTGTACATATCATCACATCATTAGGCCCAAAGGGATCCCTGCGATGGATTAGAAGCTGTCTACCTGCGAGGCTCAGATGAATTTATGAAGCACTTTATCATGATGAAGTATTAGTGGAACGCTCCGTCTCTTTCCAGTTGTGTTTATCTGTGGGAACACCCATTGGGTCTCCCTCCATTTTGTTCCTTCTGTCGCAGTCTCTCCATCTGTATTTCCCTTTTCCGCCTGTGCCATTTATGTGCACTCTGACCTTTGACCCCTCCCTATTTTTGACGCCTACTAGTTATCAGCGCACGATAAGCCTCCAAGCCTCCAAGCCTCGCTCCCTGCATCCAGTCGCTTGGGTCGTGCGTGGGAGGCAGCAAATTGTCCATTAAGTGTTTCTGCTGAGGCCAAGAGAAGATTTGATATAGTGGGGAAACAAAAGTAATATGTACCGGGAAATTCAATTGTCTCTCTCCAAGCAAAGTTTTGGGCAGTTTAACTTCCCTGCCGAATCACATGAAAGCAATTCGGATCTCCTTTAGCCCTCAAAAATATGATCCCAGAATGTATCTGTGTTTGTGTAAAAAAAAAGCCTTTGTGACTCAGACTTATTTCCTCATATGATGCCGTGAGGGCCACAATAGACGGAAAGTCACCTCCGCTTTCTCACAAACCCGATGTGCTACTACAGGAGGTACGAGTAAGCGTTGGAAACATTTCCCTTTGGCTACAGTGCGGAGGTCTGTGACCCTCGCACAGCTGCCGTTTGTTCATCCAGTGAAAGTGAGAGAAGCTCAGGAAGGTGCCTCCAGCTACTTTGGTATCAAGAGACTCCAAGTGAGAACCCGAGTGCCTTGCAGGAAGCCTCCATTACAAACTAGAGTTCAGAGGTCGTGTTTTTGCTGGTCAGCTGAGGGAAGCCAGGAGAAGGTGAAGTCACTCTCTCTCTCGCTCTCTCTCTCAGGTCATTGCCAGTCAGTCCTGATTTGGCCGAAGGAGATTGTGTTACGCAGGAACCTTGCAGCGGCTCTCAGGCCTCGAGGCTGTGCTTCTCCCCCGACCACATAGGGCATCCTCTGTTCTCTGAGGAAGCCCGGCTGTTATCGAACCCCAATGCGCAGCACTCTGCTCTAACAATGCTAACTGAATCCCCAGTGCAGGTCAGGTTCACTCTGAACTCTCAGAGTAGACAAATGAGGTCATGCTTGGATTACTGAGTACAAACTTCTAGAATGCTATAACTTTTTATTTTTTCTAATACCAGTCAAAAATACGTAACATTTTTACAGTTTGCAAATTGTTCTCATAAAACGCAATACTTCTCGACGTGTCTTTTGATTGGTTTTTGAAATCACGACCCATTCGTCTGATTTGCGGCGACTCATATTTGTGCTCAAAAAGTACATATTCTCCGCTCACTTCATCACATCTCCGCAAGTTCCTCCCAGAATAATTCGGAGAAGCCCGACTGACAATGAGCACGGCATCAAACAAATCCTCGTCGTCCACACTGGTGAGACCACCGCGTTGGCACAAGGCCTCCGTCAAAGAAAGCCGAGCCTACTCTTCTGACCATCAATCTTTATCCCTCAGTTCACCGTAGCCGCACGGCCACACCTGTGCAGCCCGTTGTGTTATTTTAAAGCTGTGCTGTTTTTGGTCGGGTCCTTCTGTTATGTTCTGTCAAAGACAACCAGCCCGGTTGCACAGGAAGAGTTTATAACAGTTGAGCCACACTGCGTTTCGGAGTCACGGTTCGTACAGACCGGTTATTTTAGCGACGTCAACGTTCATTCAGCCAGCAGCCGTACTGGCCGCCAGCCACTTGCCAAGAAACACTGGTAGGCCTTCACAAAGGAGCCGAATTGTCCATTGTGCGGTTTAACAAGGTTGGCATCAGTGTAAAGTGAGGCCCTCTCACACCTGCCTTTAAATGGACCTCACAGCCACCTGGGTCTTAGCTCTGCGCCCTGACAGGTCTGGACTGCAGTTCACTGGTTGCTGTGGCACGACGGCTAATAGAGGATGTCACTCTTTTTAACTAAGACTAGCAGGGTTGGCCTTTTCTTTTCTTTCTCTCTCTTTTTTAAAGCAATGGAATATTTGGGGTTTAATTTTCCACTGCTCTTGTTTAGTCATGAAATAGTATCCTCCCAGTTACAGCTTTCCATTATTAACCTGGGCAACTGGAAAAAAGTTTTTTTTTTTTTTTTTTAAATAATAAGTTTCCAATGCTGTCGAGAAAGATAAAGATAAGCTACAAAAAGTAAATTTATGTACACGCCTGACAGCAAACATATTATTGGATTAAATAACATACCGTTCTTTGTTGAAATAACACAAATTATCATCCGTAATGTTTTTAACATTGCAACTAGCTTCACGCAGCCTGGTTTACAGAGCACATCATTCATTTTTGGAGCCGGTGTCCTCCTTGGACTAAATGTTCCCCAGAATGTCCTCATTCATTTCCTGCATATTTGTGGTTATCTAGTCCTTTCATGGACAGTAAAACGAGAAGTTTGACTTAAATGGAAAAACAGGATTGTATTCAGTGGCAGAAATTTGACACCTGATATTTTATCAACATTTATAATGTTTACTTTTTTTGCAAAATTAAATCAATTCACTTTCTTTCCTTTTTTGCAAACTAAACTAAATTGAATCGGGTGTCTGTCATGAAAAACAACCTGAAAGGTTTGTCATGAAGCACGTTCACATGCATTCAAAGGAAATACCTGTTGATGTGTTTCTTTGCACATTCTGGTTCCTCAACTGTTCTTTACAATTTCTCCGTTTCTGAGAAGTTGGTGCAAATACAAAGTGAGCTACCCTTTTGAACAGCTATATATAGCAGCTTGGTGTTGTCTTGCGGTATAACAGTTGGCCACATCCTGCTTCTGAGATTTTCACATTGCTGACAGAGTACATGGAGACCATAGTTTCACCTTTCTTCTCTGTTTATCTCTTGTCTCTTCAGAATGGAACATCATTGAGCATGCCGATGGAAAATATTAGTTGATGACACCGAGCAAAATAACACCTCAGTTTAAGTGTGGGCGGAGGAGACGTCACTATTTTTCTTCTTTTTTTTTTTACAATGACTGAAAAGAGGAAAGAAAGCGTGTGGCTTTCTGCCACCGAGCTGTTGGGTTTTCCCTTCCCTTCTTCATAACTACCTGGAGCAGATTTCTCACCACGGCTAGCAGAAAAGAGCAGCGACATTTCAGTTTGATCCTCTCATTTTCGCATGTGCCCGCTTGTGTCCTGCGATGGCAGAGCTAAAAATAAACTCAGCGTGTAAATGCATGTTTGGCCTGGAGGGCAATAGCGTTGAAAACACCCAGCAGTGTTGGCACAGGTGGGATTTTTCCAATGGGAGTTCCTCCTGTTTATGGAGGTGAGTCCCTAGCAATCTGTTTGTTTGAGGGGGGGGGTTGTGGGCTATATAAAGCAGGGCTTGCTGCTATACGTGTCTGGCCTACCTCTTTTAAAAATAAAATGCAATCTGTGACAGATTGTTTATTGTGTTACGGAATTTATTGTGTTATTCGATATTCCTTTATGTCTCCATCCTTGGTCTGGGCTTCCTTTCCCTGCACCATTTTTGTAAATAAAAAGTCACCTAAGCCGTTCAATATGGCATCGTACCGATAACATTGAATTGTTGTAACCTCTTGTATTGGTGTTGATCAGTGGTGATGCCATGCCAATTGCCAAACAGTATCTAGTGATAACAAACTGCATGCATGAGTGGGTGGACTTCCTGTCTCGGCTCCTCACTGCGGATCCGTGTTTCACCAGACTTTGTCTCTCTCTCTCTCTCTCCGTCGACATCGGCCCACTTTATCTCGGCGAGCTTTATGACTGAGGAGCTTATTGTTTGCGTTGCGCTGCAGGGCTCGGGGTCCTCGCCATCTTCACAGCCACTTCCCTCTGTTTTGCCAAAGAACACAGAGCAGATAAAGGCAGCGGACAGATCTGTGTCTGCCCGACTGTGGGAAAGTGGCGGGCACAGGAACTAGTGCAGGAAAGACAAGATGGTGACTTCAAAACAGAGATGTGTGTACGGGGCAGATAGGAGTTTTAAAAAGGCTGGTAACCACGGTGAAGTGTTTGGATTGCAGCTGCTGTGTTTCAACTTGATGACATTGACATTCAGTGCAGCATTGCCTCACGCAACGGTAGTTATTGCAGCCAGCAAGTAATTAAGCAATAAATGAATGCCGTATTTGATGGGATTTCATTAGTTCGAGGCAACATTTCAAGTCCCTTGAGGACTCCAGGGGAAGGCCCCTTTTGCTTGGTCCCATATCGGCAACTGGCAACACTGTGTCCTGCAAAGTTAGATTCCATGACACTGAACTGTATTCTCATTTCAATTTATCCTCTCCGGTAACATTATTTAATTAAGTCACACACGTGATTTAAAATAAGTCAATGTCATCTGTCGGTTCCACATGGGAGACAAGCAGCTGTCTCCTGTGTGAAAGTCCTGTATTAGTTTGACCCCTCCGTCATCTGCAGGATAGAGACAGATACATAACCAGCACGCCAGTCTGAAACTGACAACCTTCTTGTTGTAAGCCTCATCTCTGTACGCCACCGCTCCGCACAAAACCTACTAGTGTTTTAAATGCTGAAATTACATAAAGTAAAAAGTTGGTAACAATTTGCAACCTCTTTTTTCTTTCCACAGTTAACGAGATCATCAGGAACGACCTCTCAAGCATTTCTGTGCACACTCATGCATAGATGTCCAGACGTCTTCTGCAGCAGCACACACACACACACACACACACACACACACTCAAACATCTGCGGCATCAACACACAGAGGACCAAAAAACTAGAGATCCAGATGGAGAATACCTTTTTGACCAGGATCTCCCACACTGACCATCATCCCCATCGGCTCAAAGGCTCGCTGCAGACCCACAATGACAACCAGTGGCAAGCTCTATTTGAACAAACACATGAATGTTAAATTTCCAAAAAGGGAAGTGAAATCAGGGGCAACGTATACGACTACACTTGCCTTAACTTGTAGCAGATGTTGTTTCGCGGACCAAACAGCTCAATGAGACTGAAATACTTCTATCGTTGACAAATGACAATCTTCATTTTGAGTGTGATCTGTAAGTTTAATGCATGAACAAGATAATGGGACAATGGATGTCGTGCTTCATCATTTTGGTTCATTTGTTTGTGCGCTCAGTCCGCCTCAACCGAATTGGTGCCTTACAGCAGTGAAATTGACAGCAGACGACAGCGGCAGTGACTCAAATGCGAATGGTTTTTATATGACTTTTTTGTATCATTTCAATGATTTGTTTACAGGGAAACAGAATAAAAGGCTGAAAATCATGTAGGGAATCTGTGAATAGACTAGAAATGAATTTTGTCTCGCTTCCTCATCAATATTTCGTTGTTCATCTATACTGAATGTTATTGTATGATATTCTTTTGTATAAACATGTATTTCAAAATGTACTCATGTATGCCTTATACTTATATCATGCAGTTTGCTATTTAGTTTTCCCTTTTATTCCATTTTTTCTTCCCCTTGTACCAGACTTGTACCATTTCTACTCCCCTGCATTAGGCTTTTTTCACCTTAGTGCCTTTTTTTGTGTTTTTTTTGTATCCACCTGCCCCGGTCGTCCAGCCCTCCTACTTAGACCACGACATGATCATGCACAGACAATCCGAGAAAAATATAGTACATATCCTATGACAGCAGTACCTGGTTACCTGGTTACACGGGCTTACCAAGGCAGGTATCAGAGGAGTCTTTTCCCCTTGCTATATGATAGTTAAACAACGGTATGCTTACCTGCTCAATTTAGATGAGAATGCTCCGGGATGTAGATGTAGATATTTCTCTGTAATCCTTCTGCACTGTAAGTTTCCATGTAAATTAGCACGGGGTCATCTAAGCGTGCGGCAGGCTCAGTTTTACTGACTTACGTCATTCATTCGATTCCACTGAGGAGTTGGCAGGACTGTTACTTACAGCTGGCAATAATTGATGTGCTTTAACCAAAGGATTTTATCTTTGGTGAAATTATTGTCCACGTTTCCTTTTTCTGTCGGAGACTTTAGAGCAGCGCGGTTCCCCGTACAAAAAAAACAAAAACATTATGCACTTTACCGTAAAAACAGAGCAGGTTTCCTTGCATCCAGACCAAATGCTATGGATTCATTTCCACTGTCGGGTCATAAACATACTTTCATCAAATCCTCCTTCACACAGCTGCAGTCTTTTCCATGATATCTGTCACTTGGCGCATGCACAGTGTACTTACATTGGGGATCATTTAGCTGACAGTAACTTATATAGCTTCCTAATACATTTCCAGATATTTAGTATAATAGCATGACTATGTCCTGTATGGATAAGGTGTCTCTTTTGTGCCTTACTCTCTTTCTTGAAGACAAGATAGTTGCAACTCTGTAATGCTTTTCTCTGTAGGCACAAGGTGAAACATCTTTCTCTTTATTATGAAATATTTATGAAAAATGAAATGTGTTTAAGTGCATTTAATGTGTTCTCAACAATGAATTAATAAATGGCATAATGTTGACCAATACATTACATTCTCAATCACTTTGTTGTATATGCATCAATGGTTAAAGCCTTTTGTTTATTATTTTGCTAAAAGTAAATATGTTTGAATGCTCAGAGTAGATTATTTTCAGGAACTTAAAAATGTCCGAAATAATACATTTTGTTTAAATAAATAGTAAATAAATTGGAAATGGATTCAGTATTTTTCCTCAAAAAGCATTCTTTGACTATTTATGGCCCATGTGGTTATGCTTTACTTTTAAGGCCTTCACTTTCACTTGGCTGTGTGATTTTATTGTGTTATATGGCTTGACCTTAGTAAACCTCTGACAGGACAACCTGTACCTAAATCTCTAATAAAGCCCGAAATGGAGACATTTCGACGTTGACAAGAGGAGGGAAAAACATGTTTTTTAAGGTGCAAAAATACAAATTTCTCAATTATTTGAATGAATTTTCACATCTAATTATCTATTTTACTTTATTACCCTCACAAAAAGTTACAGGTGCTCCGTGTTTTACATCTTACAATCTTTTCCTGCGGGATTTCCAGCAAACAAGGTCCTTAAATCCATCAACAGACGGCATTTGGCCTTCCACTTTTGTTTCAAATACAAACACACTAACCACTGTACTTTAACAGGATGAAAAGCAACAAGCTGGGCATCTGCCAAGTACAAGCAGAGGCCTGTGTTTTTTCCAGCGAGTATTCCTAGTGGTGGGTATCTGTGAGTGAAACAGCACCGCGCCGTGGGATCTGCGCCACGCTGCCGTGTACCAGTCCCTCCACACTTTTTCCACCCAGCAAAGTTCTGAAGCGCCCGTCGCCATAGTGACAGAAGGCAGGCCTAGGCGGCGCTCCCCTGCACAACCGGGCTGAGCCCAAAATAGCCCCACTATTTGCAGATGTGGTCACGCCCCTTTTTCCTGGCACCCTGTCCTTCTCACCTTGGCCTGGCGCCGTACCCTTTGACACAGTGGCGAGATGACTCCGGGCCGTAGTTGCGGCCGCGGCACGTTAGACAGGATATAAACGTACCTGCGAATATCATGCTGCTTTGCTTCTAACTCTTCATTATCACTAACAACACGCCGTCTGCTAATAACACGTAAACTACAACTCAAATGCATTCGTCTCTCAGTCTCAGCCAGCCTGCTGGGACGAAAGAATAATGAAAATGTTGCTAAAAATACAAAAAGGGATGAAAACATTTGCCAGATATAACAGCTGTCGGCGCCGATTGTGTTATCTGTGGACCAGCCTGGTGGCATAAGGCACCCTTTCTTTTTACTGTGAGCTTTCAACTCCAATGTCGACCCATCCGTGTCAGTATCGGACGCTCAGAGCAACAAAAGTGGCAGAAAGATTGAGAAGTCCTCTAATTGAAAACGTCATGCAAGCACAGGACAACACGTGTGTGTGTTTTAGCACGTTATGCTTCTGAGTCACATGACGTTATGTTCATGGGTTTTGTTACTCTATAAACCTACTCACCATAAACTGAAACACAGAGATTTTTATAACCCAAATAAGTGTTTTTTAAAAAAAATATATACTATATCCCCATATAAGGGACGCGTATACTAACACATACACGTCCCTTTGGCATCAAGATGCTACGCGAACCGCTGCTTATGGTTCCACCCAAGGGGCTAAAAATGTCGAGTAGGGATGAGATCACGTTGTCTGGGGTGTTGCGATTTCACTTTTGATTGACTGATCTGACTGACTGAACGGATGAATGACTGGCAGACGCAGCATCCGCCAGTCAATGCCGCCGTGGAGACATCGGCGCAGGCAACGCGAGGGCCGCTCATCGATCATGATGACTGCAGCGCGTGCCGTTTCCTCCCCAGGGTCCACGCGCTCGAAGCACCTGGCAGAGGGCAGGACTCAGAAGTTTCACAGCGTGGATTAACAGTGTCTTTGCGGCCCTGCTTCTCCCCCCCCCGTTGTATTCCCACAGAGCCCTTGATTCAGGCTTTTATAAAGTGAGTGCATAAGCGCTGGAGCTGCTGCCCTCGTCTCTCATCGGCCATCTGAAAGCAGTAAATCCTCAGTATGCCTCTGTTATGAAGGGCATGTTGAGAGAACCACGGGGGTGGCTTTAAGAGATACTTAAAGAGATGATTGCTTGACCATGCTTAGGACCCTTTTGTCCCATGAGCCAGTCCTACATTGGATTTTTTTTTTCAACTCCCTCGAGCCAGTTTTGGTGATTTTTCTTTTTTTGTGTGTCAGATGACTATAAACAGACCGAGTAATCAATTACCTAATGGATGATAAAGAAAGAACCAGACGCCCACATGTGTGCGGATTTGAGCATGTGTTTACATGTGTTTTTTAAATCTGTTTTGGGTGGGGTTTTGGGAGGGCCCCACAGGTGTACACCGACCCCTTTAATGGGACCGTTTCACGTGTGACAGGATCAGCAGATGACCCGCTGACGTTGTCACATCTTTTCGGACCCACAGACAAATCACATTTTTAAAAGACACTTTAAAAGAGAGACGCTCCGAAAGGCAACCAGATGGGGGCCTGGAAAATCTTGTGCCGTATTTTATTCTCCATCTGCAATCATTCAGCTTGATTCGCTCTTTTTTTTGCGATGCGTGAAATGTTGTGCAAGATCTTATACAAATTTAGCGGTGGGACAGATGTTTAAAAAACAGACGGAATGCGAAAAGTGAGAACTATCGTTAAAAAGGTTCAATGTGTGCAATACGGGCGGAATTTTAAGTAATATTATCAACAAACCTTGAAGATGTTGCTCAAAGACCTCTATGTAGTGAAGTAAGCGTGCTAACCAGTTAGTTATTTACTCCACCCGTGGAGACGGAAGGACCTCCAGTGAGCAGACAACCCGGCGCTCCACCAGCCTGCTGGGACGCCAGGAGCTGGAGTTTGTGCTCCAGTAGCTGGTTGCGGTGCGATAACGCTCCTGGAATCATTGGTGACTGTTAATTAAGGGTATTAGTTTTAAAGTGTTTCTGTTTGAACACTGGAGTTCTCCATTCTCCACCTCAAAGTCAATGTTTTCAGTACCACTTTCACTCTGCGAGCTTTCTATCCTCATTGGAGAAAAAAAAAAATCCTCCATGACATCCGAAACAATAATTCTGCTATTATTTGCTTTAAATGTTTCAGCACATATGCAGAATGTTCATGTTGAAGTACATTGTAGTGCACATTAGGGATGCTCCTAATGGGCATCAGTAAAAGCCCTTGATAGTCCAGAGTTCAGGCAGGTGCAGACTCTTACAGCAGATAAAGGAGCCCGGCACTGGAGATGAGTTCACGACAATCACTGCGAGGCTTTTAGACGCCTCCTCCGAGCTCAATCTTCATTTCCCCTGACACTGATTTTGCAATAAGGATCCGGAGAAAAGGGGAATGTCCATCTATTCATTTTAATGATCCTTCATTATTGACTGCTGGCAGGGAGGGGGCGGGCAAAGGTAATGATTCTTTGTCTTTGCTGGCCAATCACTCCTCTTAAAGGAATCAGACTCTAAATAAGGCCACTAATGGATGCCCAGCATGACCTAAAGCTGACCCCCCATGCAAACCGACTTCCCGACATGAAGGAGTGAGAGTTTTCTGCTTTAGTGGTTTGGTTATAATTTGACCAAAGAGGAGTAGGGGTTATACTAAATAGTGTTAAACCACAAACTCCATGTGGTCTACATTCATGGAGCACAGCACTGATTTGGTTGACTGTTTTTTTTATCTCAAATTGTTAAAGCAAAAGTTATCATTTTCATTGATAAGGAAAATATATAAATAGGGATAGCAGCCAGTTAGCTTAGCCTAAAGCATAAAGACTGGAAACAGGAAGAAACTCAGAACAGCCTGACCAGGTGTAGCAAAAATCGAAGATTTGCTCATCAATAGAAACACATGAGTCTGAGAAAAAGAGGGGATCTACGAGGTGGATTTCTTGGTGAAGCGTGTAACCTTCTTGCGTCTCCACTGGCTCCCTGTAAACCTCTGTGAGGATGAGAAAATACAGATTTTACTGCGTTTGGATAAAGTATGAAGCCACGGCAGGAAAAGTTAGCTTACCTTGACATAAGAGTAGGAAAGAGTTGCCTCTGCATATTGTATTTAAAGATTCAAAGATTCAAAGATTTTTTATTGTCATTTACACACTGTTTACACACTTTGTATTGAAATTCTTGTACTTGCCTTTCCGGAAAGCCGACCAATTTTAAAATAAAAATAAGAACAAGAATACAATATTTACATAAATGTACATGAAATAAAAAATGAGGTGAGGATAAGGCAGAAATGAGGTGACGAGGAAAAGTGCAAAACTGAGCAGGTTGTAAAAGAAGAAAACCTAAATTAAATGAAATGTGTGCAAGATAAATGAACAGTACAGTAACAGTAAGTGAATCCTAACAAGCTAAAGTGCAGACCAGTTGTGGATTAGGTTATAGAGTCCTCTCAGCTGTTGATGGCTCTAATGGCAGTTTTTCAGTCTGGTGGTCCTGCATTTGGCACTTCTGTACCTCCTGCCTGAGGGCAGAAGCGTGAACAGTCCATGTTGGGGGCGGGTGGGGTCTTTGAGAATGGAGGCAGCTCTCCTGTGAACCCTGCGGTGGTAGATGCTCTGCAGAGAGGGCAGTGGGGTCTTGATGATCTTTTCTGCTGTCCTCACTGCAGGCGTTTGCGGTCCATGGTGGATGTGCTGCCGTACCACACGGTGATGCAGCTGGTCAATATGCTCTCCATGATGCAGCTGTAGAAGTTGCTGAGGATCTTAGGAGACATCCCAAACTTCCTCAGCCTCCTCAGGAAGTACAGCCGCTGTTGAGCCTTCTTGACCAGCTGCGTTGTGTCGAGTGTCCAGGTGAGGTCCTGGCCGAGGTATTTGAAGCTGCTCACCCTCTTAACTTCAAGCTCCTGGATGAAAAGTGGTTGGTGAGGTCTCCTCTCCTTCCTCATGTCCACTACAAGCTCCTTGGTCTTGTCAGTGTTGAGGGTGAGGTTGTTATCCTCGCACCATGACACCAAACTGGCCACCTCCCTCCTGTATGCCGCTTCGTTCCCCCCAGTGATGCGTCCTAACACTGCGGTGTCATCAGCAAACTTCAGGACGATGTTATCCTTGTGGGTAAGTCGTGGGTAAGTAAATCGCACAGTAAAACACCTCCCAGCCATACATACATTTTTCAATGTATTAAACAATTAAATGTATTAATTAGGTACAAATCCACCTTTGAACACTCCGTTTTTCCCCCCGTTCATAGCAAAGACGGAGTCGTCGCTTCACGACAGTCACATGTTGATCTGGATGTCTTCAGCAAACAGATCTTTGAGAAAAGGTATCTTACATTTTACAGCCCCAGAAAACATTGATGTATTTCCTTTAATAGCCAAGGTGTTCTGCTTCATATACAAAACCATTGCACAGCGGCTTATTTAACCTTTATTTTTGTGTTTTTGTATCTATCCGTGCGCATCTCAGCCGGTCTTGGCTGTCATCAGTCTGTCAAGGTAATGAACCCTACTTTACCGCAGCCTCCAACAGCTCTTCAAGGCCTACTTCACACCACTGAAGAAATACACTCAGGTATTAGTTCTTCTGCCTGGATTCTCTCCGCTGGCTGATGGGGTGGGCGGGGATGTTATTAGGAGAATTCATCTACAAGGCTCCCCAAGCCATACTATACTGAAACTGACCACAAGACAACCCTATCATCCTCAAGGATTACCTGTCTCCTGCACTATATATGAATGTTTTATCATAAAAGCTTTTTCTTTTTTGCTAAGTGCCTCCTTGAGTGTTTGCTTTTAACTTTTGATTACTTTATGTCTTGTTGTGAAGAAGGAAAAAAAGAAAAAGGCTCAGCCCATTTGAATATAATGGACTTAACGGGAAAGGTAGTCTCTCTTGCTTCATTTAAAGGATACGTCGCGGTGGTGTAATCAAACACAGCGGGTGTGAAAAAGTTGGCGATAACGTGTGCGTATGGAGTTTTAACCTGGACTTTGTCAAAGTGGGCCGAGCAGGTGGGGGCGAGTCATCGGGGGGAAAACAGACGTGACACAATCGTATAAATAAAACGGTACGAGGGGCTTTGTATAGGGCCCATATGTTTCCGTCTGTGAGCAAATATAGGATGTCATGCATTACAGTGTAAAAAGACTCCTTTACAACGGTCTTTGATGTGGTGACTCACATCTCATTTGGCCCTTTTTTTTATGTACATACGATAGCTGCATTTCACTTTTATATTGTCTGAGTCATTTAGTAGAAAAGAAATCTTTGTCGTTTGGTCGAGACGTTGAGGTTTCCAGTCCTTAGCGCCCCCCTCATCCCCCTCACCCCTCTCTAGGTTTTACCAGACGTCGCGTTGCGAGAGGGGAATGGTCGATTGCATAACGGAAGGCGAGACGTGATCGTTCCTGGCCTTCTCACAAAATTCAATCATTCTCTGCATACTCCAATCCCATGATGGCCTAATAAAGAGCAGCGAGGGCTAAGATTTCCCCTCATGTGTTTTGAATTGAAATTAAGGTCAAGTCTGCCATGCGCCTGAATTGAGGAAGACAAGCAGCTTGGGAGGAAAAGGAGAAGTCAAAATAGTTGGACTGAACTGAAAGATAAGGCAGACTCACATTTTCTCTCCTTTTCTCACTTGGGTCGTCCTGCCACTCACATTCATATTGGCGAGACTCCACACCTGTCTGGATCTCAGTGGAATTGTATCATGACATAAAAAAAACGAAAGGGTCCTTTTTATTTATTTTTTTGAATCAGACACCTGTGAGACTTCACCTAACTCAAGCTTTTGCTGGAATCCGTTCCAAACAAGTCTGCACCCTTTAAACTCAGCACACCATAAGTCAAAGAAAACTACTGGAAGAGATAAAGAGGTGTAGTGAGAGAAACAGGAGATGATGACCCCAGATGTTCTCTGAGGAACCACTTGAATCTGAATCAGAGTCTGACCGGCCTTGAGCTCCTCATTCCTCAACGTCCCAGTGGAGTGGAGGAAGGATGAACACACACACACACGCACACACACACACGTATACACCTACATGGCTCAGACCCTTTGATTTAGTGTGAGAAGGATATGATGCAGACATGACTCTGATGACCTGGGCAAACTATCCAGAGAATGCCCCCCCCCGTACAGAGGCACAGTAAATGTATACTTGCAAATGCAAAACAAATATGAAGAGCAGAAAGAACCAAGTAATGACTGAACATGCTCAGAGTTTAAGATGTTTCTATGTTACAAGATATATCCAAGATTCATTTATTTAACCAGAATTGTTTCTTTACAACCAATTTTTACTCATTTTGAGCAGCCCTGCACACGTGTAAACGTGGAGCACTACTGGAATCTTGAAAGGTGCAGGCAAGATGAGCGCCTCATTTGCTATTGAGGGTCTTAGAATAATCATGCAGTGACATCTAGTGTTGGTTCTAGAGTCACGCAGACAACTCAAGCGCATCAACTTTTGAATGCTCCACCATATAAAGATTGTATGTATATATTGAGCACTTATTTTATTATGATGTGCAAAACATTCAAACCATAGCTGGTAAGACTAGACTATCATTATATGTTACTTTTTTGCAGTACATATTGAAAATAAAGCAATCTATTTATCTGAAGAGCAATCCAGAGGAGTGCATAGACGCGGACCATAATGACACCATAAAATCAGCAGATCATCGGGACCCTCATGGCGATTGGGTGTGGATCTGGGTGTGGATATATTGTGTATATTATTGGTTTTACTTTTACTGCACAAACACATTAAAAAAGTGACCTTATTTACTTGATATCGCTTAACCCAAAACACACAATAGAAAATAGTTAAGGCAAATTGATGCTATGTGTGTGCCCCCCCCCCCCCCCCTCCTCCATTGCCCATTGACCTTAAAACCTTCTGCCCCAGCTGACGGAGGGCAGGGAGAATGTTTGAGGAGTGTTAAGGCAAGTTTTATTTGGTAATGTTGAACAGTTTCTCCACACAACTAACATATACAAAGCGCGTTAGAATGTACAACAATGTACGGTCTCAAAATACCGTCACATTTTAAAGCCACAGGTGCCACTTGTTCAAAGAACATCAATTATACTTTCACATCGTATTAACAGTTCAAGTAAACTGGCTTTGACCTCTAAATTGAGAAGGACTTGTAACATGCTCGACAACAAAGTGGTGTTGTGAGATCCGACATGTTAATGTCGACGTCATTTCATCATTGTGCTGAGCTTCGTTAATCAACACAGATATCTGTAGAAAATTAAACCTGACCCTCATTAGAGCAAATGAGTATAATAATCAGGGAGTGATATTGTTGTAGGTGTGGATCTGTAACAACAGGAATATGTAAAGCTCACACATCATTTTTCAGTTTTGTACAGCAGTGTTTAACTTAAACATATTCATTCACTACATTGGACACTTTGTGTTGCAAGCATCACCTGACTTGAAAAGTCCATATACACTGACCAATGGGAACATGGACACAGCTCCAACCATGGAGCCCAGCTGCACTACCGCTCCACACCACACCAGGGCACTGTGGCCTTCGTCCCTAAGAATCACCCCGATGATGACCTTCACGTAGGACAGGGAGAGGACAAACAGGACCCAGGCCAGCACCTGCATCACACAAAAAAACACTTATATAAAACCTGTTTATTCATTTAACTTGTTACTTTTAAGTACTTTAGAATTCGGTTTACAAATAAACAGCTACTTTTATTGAGTGGAAAGGAAAAGTACATATGCAGAAACTGATATGATTCATTGAAAGGCAAAGTCTGAAACAAAGAGTTGACTTTTAAAAGCTCTTTAGTCAAAGTTTTATTGTTTCACGTCTTTCTTCACAGTACTACTGTGAAGCTTCATTTTCAAAATCACTGTATAAGCCCTTTGACATATAGTGGGGATATTTCCCCGAGAAAAGCAGGGGGTGACAGCATTATACAACCAGTACCAGCTAATTCACAACAATCAACAGACCTGTGGCGCTGAAAGCTTTCCTCAGAACGTTCATAAAGTTGGAACAAACATGGATTGACAGTATTTTATTAATCAGGTAGGAGATAGATTTGGCACAACTAGATTTAAAAACCTCACAATCACACAACACTGAGCATAAGTGTGACCATGACGGGCACAGTTTAATTAATTTTAAAAAGTTTACCAATTACAAGAGAGAACATGAGTTTCAAACATAACTGCAGTAGCATTTTTGCAACGTCTAAATAAAGCATATTGATGATGAAATGTATTGGAAGAAAGCGTCTTACTATGACTGCAGTTCCAAAGTCACTGTGGACCAGCAGGGGGCAGGGACTTAGAGCAGCCGTTGCCATGATGTACCCTCCAAATCCAGTACCAACCATGGCCAAGAAACCCATCAAGATGAGAGACCTGCAGAAATAATAACCGAGCACTCAATGTTACGCTGAACCACTCGACGAAACATATTGATGACTGGTTCAATACATCTCTACAATGTAAATAGATGTTTTTCAGTACTCATTACGTACCTAATGGGCACAAACATGGCAATGAAGCAGGCCACTGGGTTTGCTACAGCTGCCATGGTAGCAGCTAGATGGTAAGCCTTGTTCCCGTAGGGCAGACAGGAGTAGGACTGCACTGAGGGCAGCACTGCATTGGTCAGGGCATTGACCCATGCCAGTACAACAAAGATGAACAGCGCCTCCAGATTGCTATACGTCCCCCTCCCAAAAGAGCTCCTGGGCTCCCTCCTATTGGCTTCCCTTGGGCTGATCATAGGCTTCTGCTCTGGAGTCTGGGCGTGCAGAGACAGACCTTCGTCTTTCTTCCCAGAGCCCAGATCACCACTGAAGTACAAGTCATTGTTTCTCTCTCGAGCCACAGCTGGGTGATGGTTGAGCAGGATGAAGGCTACGAGGCAGACGACCATCATGGCGCTGAGGAACACAAAGAAGACCTGGGCAGAGAACTTAGCTGGCTGGTAGACCGCTTGCAGCTCCCCACTGCCGACCGTAGCGTTGTCAGCGATCTTGTTGGCGGCACTAGCCAATGTGGCATTCTGACAGTGGACCACACCAACGCCTTGTATCAGAGCAACCACTGCGGGCACCAGACCGCTGAGGCCTTCGCCTACGAAGTACGTGGTGAGGTACTGTGGCCGAAGCTGCATCATGAAAGGCAGAAACGTAACAGAAGAAGTGCAGTCCACCACGGAGAGCAGGAAGCTCAACACCAGCAGCGGCACACTGTGTAAAGAGCCCTCTATCGCCACCGTGTGCTTCCAAAAGAAAGCCAGCAGGAACGTAGCAACGATCCCCAACCCCACAATGCAGTAGATGATCAGCCGCTCATCCAGCGCCCGGGGGCGAAAGCGGTGCATCAGAGTGATGAAGAGAGGACCTATGTTGGCCATCTGGATGATGACCGTGAGGTAGGACGGCAGATACCAGCCCTCCGGGATCTCCGGTACGACCAGGGGTAGCTCCACCCACATCCCGTTGATGGCCACCCAGGAGCCCATACCGAACAGGCAGGCCAGTACGTGGGTCAGCAGCGACATGATGGTGGTCGATCAAAAAAGGTAGACGTGCACAATCTGAAATACGGAAGCAAAACAGAATAGTTTTATCAACTTTATGAAAAAAAGCTAAAGCGGATGCACCTGTTTAACTGGCAGACAAGAATTCTGTGGACACCTGTTTGAGTCTGTAGCTTATAGCGAACATTAGCTTGCCAGCATGCTTTCCATAACAAAGTTTAAATGCTGATGTTAAGTAACGTTTACCATGTTTACCCAGTTTTACTTGGGAAAAGGCGTATCAGCATTACGCGCAAAGCACGACCAAGTCCGACGGGAATGTCGTTGTAGTTTTTAAGGTATTTAGTCACAAACCAAACAAGTTAAAATGGTGACATAATGAGGAGTAGTTTTACATTCAGAGTGACCAGGATGTAAGAGTACCTACTTCCACAGCAATCCATCAAATAGTTGTTTCCAACATTCTCCACTGAACCAAAAACATCAAAATAAAATTCCAGTGTCAATGAAAAAGCACGTCCCCATGGGGCTGGGATTGACCTTCCCAGTCTCCCTTACTGGGTCACTTCACGCCATCCCTGCCTCTACTTGTTAACACCTGACCTTTCACCCACTGACACACTGCTCCCATGAAATGAGCCCCACAAGGTTGTGATATAAACAACACATTAAATGGAGATCAAAGTGAAACGGTCTTTTAGTGAAACATACATATCGTATTTCTTTTACCGAAAAAATAAAAAAGGTCCTAAAAAACAGTCAACCAATGAATTTAATTTGCATCATTGTATCATTTAAAATTCTTCAAAATTGGTAACTGTGTTGACTACTCTTGTAAATCTTAAATATTAAACTACTACAATCAACCGGGATCCTTTTGGTCCCTTTAAATATGTGGTTATGCCTGCTTGATCAGGGTTAACCAGGAAATCCCATAACCTCACATCCTTCACACAGTGAGAATATCCCTCTTACCTCAGTCAGAACATAACCAGCAAGTGCTTCACTTCACTTCCTTCCTTCCAAAAACAGTCAATCTGTATTGATCAGTTACATCAGCTTCAGGTTCGGAGTCTGGGTGCGTTGGCGTGTGTGCATGTCTGCATTCACCTCCCCCTTGTCTCCTCCACACACACACACACTCGGTCTTACTCTACTTCCTGTTCGGTGCTGCACTCTACAGGGGGGGAGGAGCTGCTCAGGCGCACTTGCCCTCAACTGACGCTTCTATCCTTCCATTGGTGTGCCGTTTCAAAATCATGGAGCCATGTGCTCCGGGTGTGCCTGTGAGATCAGCAGTAGGATGAAAGGAGTCACGGGAGAGGCCTCGGCGAGAATAGCTCCTCCTTTTCATTTCCCTCCCCCAACCAGCATACGACCTTGTGGCCTGCCCTCGTTTAAACACACAGGCTGCAGTGGGAGTGGGAGAGTAAAGCCAGCTTTCGGTCCGACACTCAATGAAGTGATGTACGAGATAATGTACATGACACGCTAATCCTCGGTTTAATTCTCATGGCCTGCTTGGTCTCTGTTGGCTTCCCTCTGTGCCAGCACTTCTTTTGTTTGGCCTAATAAGTTGCCTTTCTAGTTTGACAATCTTTAACACAAAAGCGGTATTTTCAAAAAGGTTCGGCAGGGCATCTGGTTGCGTCCCTCCGACAAACCTTGGAAATATGTGACCTACCAGCAGCACTGTTGGATGTTGGATTGTTGGACTGTTGGATGTTTGAAATTGTGACATGTGTCATTAGTGCCCAACACAAGTAATGCGGTTTCTAGCGAAAAGTCTTTTGCATTAATTGCAAAAAAAAACTAAGTGTAGCCATCCATGTAAAGGCAACATTATTGAGGAGACACCATAAACAAGAACAAAATAAAACTCTACAAACAATTAAAGCACATTTTGTCACGGTTGTCGGCTAAAAAACATCATGCTGCTGTAGAGCATTGCACATTAAAAGGCTGATTTAACTATTTCTAGGATTCATTGTCATGCAGCAAATACAGTGTGAGTGGAAATGAGTGTTATTGACTATTGTGGATTGACACTGATATTTTGTTTTAATTAGCAATCACACATTTACTGTTGAACCAATTAAAAACAAATGTCCTCAGTAGGCTTAAGTAATATAATATAAAACTGCTTTTGCATGTCTATCATTAATCATCATCATCATTTCATTAATAGATGAGGTTGTTGTAGATGAGGGCAGTTGCTTAAAAAGCACAGTGGAAAACCTGGCAGAGCTTATTTAGATTTTTTTGGGGTTTACTTTGCGTAACTTTTCGTGTTTATTTCGAAAAATTTCAACAGAATAATTTCTTCATGTGACAGAGTTCCTTCTTTTATAACTACACAGCTTAGAACAAAACCGAGTATTTTAAATAACCTCTATTTATCATTTTACATAAGACAAGATACCGCCTACCTGCTCGTGGGAAAGGACGGGCAAAGGCAGTTTTATCCCCGGGTTACTCAGATCACACACAGTTGGCTGGCTGATATCTTTGGGTATGCCTGAACCGGAGCGCTTTGCATTCTGACTTTGCTGGGATCTCTGAGTCTGTCAGGTGACTGCAGAGGGGCCCAGTCCAGGGGGGGAAAGTTTTGAAATTTTAAAGGGGGGGGGGGGGGGGGAGGGAAGAGGGTGGTGTAGGAGAGAGAGGAAAGAACTAGAGAGGATGGAATGATGGAGGAAGGAGATTTTAGTAAATGTTGAAACGGGTAAAGATTGAATCAGATGTATTTTAATACTCTTTTCCCATCTCTCTACAAGGCACGTGTGGGCAGCTTAGCCAAGCAGAAGAGGCCTTTGGACGGCTCTCTGGGCTTTCTCCGTGGGTGTTTTGTCAGGGTCAGTCTGGCTTTTGTTCAGCGTGAATTCCAGCCTAATGGAATGGCCCCTGCTGGGCACCAGCGCCATGGTACTTCATTTGAGTGCCCCCACCTCTGCATTCACTGGCACTATGTGTCCTCCATAAAAGTACAGTAGAGCAAATTCCCTTTAATACTGAAAAAAAAACAACTACTTGAGCTTTGGATGTGAGGTTAAGTCTACTGTTGTGTTACTAACAAATTAAAACCTTGTTAAATTTGGCCAACTAAATTATTAATGCCCTGATTAACATATGTTCAAATGATGAAATGTGTCTATAATGTAACAGCAGGATGCTTGAATTAACAAGTGAAAGTTCATATATGCTGATTGCATGCCCTCTTTGCTCTGCTGCACCGTGAGGCCCAGTCACAGGACAGTGTTGTTTTGACACAAACTCAGGATTGTCATTGTGAAGATTTGTGTAGAAGTACAATACTTTGCTTTCTTTCTCAAGACTGCTGGTCCGTGTTTTTGAACAAATATGTCTGTGTTTTTGGTTCCGCATGTCCGTGTGAGTCTCAAAGACTCCCTTGTTAGGCATCAACGGGAGGGGAACTGGAGCTGGGAATCCACAGATTGAATTTGTGCGATTGAGAATGTATTATTAAATATGATACTCAGAGGGGGAAAGGTAAAATCAACAGCGGCAAAAGGGATTTGTGTAATGATATAAAAGGGAGGCAGTGACATTCAATCCAAAACAGAGCGAGGATGTTTAGAAAGTGAGTACATACCATAAAGTGTGAGTACTAATGCACACTTTTCATTAAATCTAGTGTCTATTCTTACCTCATACTTTTCAAATGTACACAGGGAAATCTTTTTGCCACATAATGTGGAAAAATGTATGTAACCCTTCAAAATGTTTCATTGAATGAACAAGGTTATAAATTGCAAATTTCCACTCACAAGGTGAGGTGGAAGGCAAGGTCTTTTCCTGGGTACCAAGAAGTCATACGCAGAACGTCAGCGCGTAGAGGCAAACAAATTTGACAGGAAAGAGGCACAATAAATCCAACAAACAGAACAAAGCATAGTAGAAACTATCACGAGAAAAACAACAATCTGACACCTGGACATGGAAAGCAGTGGAGTGTTTATATGTGGTGTTGGACCGGGGGGACAAACAGGGGCATGTGATTGAGTGCAGGTGTAGTGAATCAAAAATCAGTAGGAACACTGGGACCGGAACTGAAATGACAGGAGAGGTTAGTGTCAAAATAAAACAGGAAAAACACACATAATCTGTTCTGACGACGCTTTACTTTAGCTACTTCAACTAAGTAAATAGAACATTTAAACGCAGTCACTGAAATGACATTCACATCAGCCTCAGCTGTACTTGGCAAACCAAAGTCTGTCGTAAAGGAACCTGATCCATCATTTAAAATCAGTTAACCAACCTAACTAGCTTAATCCTCCCCTCAAGAACCCAAAAAGAAACACATCAACTCCTAAAATAAATTGTTATTTCAGCTTCAGATATTCTAAAGTTCTGGAAAACAGGTATCTATTTTATTTTTTGAAATGTAAATTGTGGCTAAATGATTTCTTAAAATCCATGTCTATAACACATATAATTTCAATTATTAAGATGTTTATAACTTGGGCACCAAATGTTGAATATGTTGACTAGTAAAGAGAAAAAAAGTGCCTAAGAGCTTCAGCAGAGGAGATGTAGTCTCACTTGTTGGCTCTTCTTCCCCACATGTAATCCATTCAGCCTGCATGTTTATGTGTGTGAAAATGTGTGAAAAAACCTTACAGTCTATAGCGCTTGGATTTTTCTGTACCAGATGGATGCAGTGGTGAAATAATCAAATCTAATACATGATAATAACTCACAAAATATGTTGCCGAAATTTTATCACAGACCAAAGTCAGCCAACTATTGAGATAGCCAACTGTTTTTTATGTCAAGTAGTGATGTGTCATTCGTTTCACAAGGACTCGGGAGTAACGAGTCCTCTCAAAGAGAGATTCGTTAATTTTCTCGTGACATTCGGACTGTTGCATAGACTCAGTCAAAGAAACAGAAATGGTTCGTTAATGTCCCGACTGGGTTTTCGGGTATGAGTCTTTGGATCATTTTTCACGTGACCTGCAGAGGCTCAGTACCAGTAACCAGAGGAAACAGAAATGATTCGTTCATTTCCCGACTGGGTCTTTGTACGAGTCGTTGGATCCTTTTTTAATGTGACCTGCATGGGTTTATTAGAGGAAACAGAAAGGATTTGTTTACCTCGTTCACTTTCGCCTGAAAAGGGTTAATAAGACGTGAATGATATTAGTTCACAAACAATAATTACAGGTTTCGTTTATTGTACTTTACTTACATTTCAGAGCAGCGTAATAGTTTGCGGTGATAATTAAATGCTAGTGTGATAATAAATGATCATTTCAAATCATCCAAACTGTCATTATACTAATTTAAAAGAAATTTCTGCATTAACATAACGTATCTGCTGGTTTACATCCACTAACCTACATGAGAATATGTACGTGTTTGCAGTGGACATACCCCTCCCCCCCGTTGAAATGAACGAATGACTCGAAAAAAGATTTGTTCATTTTACTGAACGAGATTCAGAACCGAGTCAGTCAAATTATGAGCTGAGTCAAAACTATATGCATCCCAAAAATATTTTTCGTCCACTTATTTTTATTTTGAATACATTGTTGTATTTTAAAATTATAAACTTGTTATCCACCATTAAATGGGGTTGGAGAATTCTTGGTTTAGTCCAGAGCCTGTAATTGGGTCATAATGTCCAAACATTTCCGTGATATAGAACTATACAGCAGATGGACATATTCACGTAGAACATCTGGACTGACGGTAAAAGAGAATCACCTTTTTAATCTTCAATCCAAGATGTCTTCTGTCCATCCGGAGTTTCTTCATTTTTGAAGCGCAACACTACTTAGCTACTGCTAAACACAGCAGATACTAATAACCTCAACATACTATCTTGATTGTGCTGTTATAACGTATAACAGCACAATCAAGTTTGAAGCCTTTAGAGTATTTTATCAAACAGCAAGTGTCACGAATTCTCCATCCTATTAGTTTTTCTCCTGCCTGCTTGTCAATTAACTCTACTGTCATTCCAGATCCTGTCATCAACAAGAAATCATCTCATTCTCTTCACCTGGTCCTCATGCCCTTCCCACCTGCAGCCCATTCCCCCATTAGCCCCTCACTATTTAGGTCCCCACACTTCCACTTGGGTTCCAAGACCTGTAAGCCTTCCAGCAAGGGTCACAAGTCACGACCAAGGCGGTTGTTGCCTGTAATGAACAGACAGATAACCTTTTTTTCTTGTCGTCTTTTGCTTCTCCTGCCATAATCTTGCTGTTTAGCTTTGTAGACTCACCGCTCTCACAGCGTTGTTTGAGCAGCACAGGAAGTTGTTTTTAATGGAAAAACTCGAAGCGAAACACCGTACACTACTTGCCTTGCGCAACATCGCAAAGTTTGTTACTAGCAACGCATTTAGCGATTAAAGAGCCAGAGATGGTGGAGACTAAAAATGGAGCTAAAGAGAGTGAATGTTAAACTCTCATTCACCAGATGAATGCCTTGTTACTGCTGGATGAGGAAATTAACTAAGAACTCAGATTTTTGCCAAAACACCACACAAAAGCAGCTCTGTGTAATATCAATTTTTTTTTTTTCTGACAAGATTATACAAGTGGACATGAAATCATTAGTGATATTAATTGAGTTTCCCTAAATAAGACATTGGAATGAGTGCTGGGTATAGAAACATTTACAGTACAGAAAGATTAGGGTGCATAGCAATAGAAGTGAAATCTAATATTGTGTTTATAGTACAGTAACATGTCAACGTTCTTCAACATTGACACAATGTAGCCAAAAGCAAAAGGTACTTCATCATATAAAAACATTTGACTTTTAAAAACTGCAAAGACAAAATGCAATAAGATACATACTTTGAATTATGATCTTCAACCTCAATTATTTTTAGTACAAAAGGTGCACATACAAATGTAACTTTCCATTGATGATAACGTATTGTGTAGTATTAACTGCTATATAATAGTCTCAGCGTGTAAGCCAGGCAGAGTGCAGCATTGAACAGCCTCTTCTGGAGACTGATGGTGGAGCTGCAGCCGCTGCTCTCACAGAAAATTTGTGAGAGCAGCGGTTTCAGTATCTTTTCTGAAAGAATGCATATTGGTATCTTCAAGCTCATGAGGAAACTTTGGAGGAAACAGATGGAGTGTCTTACATGTTATTTCTTAGTAAAATCAAGTTCTCAAATGCAGAGGATGTCAGATAGAAGACAGATATAGACAGAAATAGAGAAATTGGAAAAGATACCACTTTTGGTAAGAGACAAAAAGGACACCAACTGAAATAACTATTCTGTTAATACCAGACATATCACCTGCTCAAGACAATTGACAGGTCTTCCAATTCGTAAAACAACCTATCTACAGTAGTAGGACACAGCAAAGTGCATTTTTATGAAAAGAATGTGCTAAACAAAACATTCCCCGAAGAAATCGCATATCTACATTTTCACAGTAATGTTCCATAGAAATACATACATCAAAGGTAAAAACAATCCTGAGAAAATAATCTCTACAAATCAACAATGACCTGTTGTACATCTGTGCATTGTTCGTTACACAATCTCCAGTGTTTAAAACATTCTTACAATAAAGAACAATACAAATACATCACATTTGAAAACTGTGAAACAAAAGTAAAAGACAAAAAACAGAGGTGGCCCTGCCAACAATGTCATCTCAATGGAATGAAATATAAAATAAAATCACGAAGTTGAAAGACAGCATACTGTACCGTTCACATCCTTGTGGTTTTGGTATATGTGGGTTATTTTGGAGGCTGGTGGGGGGCAGCACAACACCTTTACATACCATGTATACATGCGATCTGAGTCCCTTTTTGACACCACATTACTGCCCGAGACAGACCTTTGTTCCCAGACTCACGTATCATATCTTTACAACAACAAGCAGGAGAAAGAACTGTGCAAGCAAGAATCTGGCTATCATGCAATAAGCACCCATGCAAAACTTCCTACTTTTTAATCTTCCTAATCAGATTCTACTGTATGCAATGCACCAGGGTTCACGCATCTGCTGACTCCCCATTGTCCACTCATAACCTCCACACAGTTTCTCAAACCCTTGAGCATCACTCTTCTGTCAGTGGCTGCTTTTCAGACGTGACTGATGCATTTTTTGGCCCCTTTCTCACATTACTTCTGCTTATCTCTCTGTTTTGGGGCCCGAAGGCAAGTGTTTGGGTTCAACACTGCAGCATACTCGTGGTTCTCAGAGGCAGAGATCATCATGTGGGTAACCTCTCAGCTTCGTCTAGACCGTGAGACAGTGAGAGAGAGAGCGGGAGTTAACATATCTTTTTGTATCCAGATAGAGTTGTACTTACTGCGGGATGAATGCATGACAAAAGCAAATGTCCTTTAAAAGTAATTGTGGGACCAACCTGATGGTGAGGGAGAATTCTCATCCCCTGTTGTGGTAAACTGAAGGTCGGATCCCAAAGCAGCGATGGAGCTCCTGGGACGGACGCAGCGGTCACCTGAGAAACTTCTGCGAAGCAATGCCTGAAGAAAGACATATTGTGCTTATTAAGTGAGGTCCGATATCTTAAAGTGAATGAGGAAAGTTTTTTTATCTTGCTCAAAAGACACATTCAAGGCAGCTGAATTGCAAGGATGTTACTCTTTTCTTGGTATGCCTTTTTATATAGCATAACATTCTACATTTTGACAATTCAAAAAGATAAAAAATATATATTTTTTAGCAGTGGTGCTATTTATCCATCTCAATTGTTTGGTATGAGCCTCCTCTTGAATATAATGAGACTATGTAGAGTTCGCCTTGTGGTGCTAAAAGGGCCAAAAAGTCTTTCATGCAGTTCCTATCTGTTAGACTTTAACATCGTCCCATTTAAAGAACACTCGACAACTCCAAATCAATCTAGATTAATGAATGACTGGTGAGAAAAAAAACATATGTAGTTTGGATTTTGGAGGGAAACTTTCCCTTTAAACTACCAAGAAGTTAAAACTTGAAGCAGAAATGCATGAACCAGTCTTACTCAAAGGACGAAGAGGTGAATATGAAAATAAATAAATGGAGGAAAAGAAAAAAGCAATGAAGTCTCAGAACATGTTGACTCAAAATAGCACACGCCGGTATAGATGCCCGGATAACGGGGTGCAGCCTTTGCCTTGCCTTGCGTGTCATGGGGCTGGTGGGGGCCGAGGCGCTGCTGTACAGGCTGAGGCTCGAGTTGGACCTGCTGACAGTCAAACCCTTGGAAGTGCTTCCTGCTGGAGACAAGTACTTCTCCTTGATCTTCAGGTTGGTCCTGCCTTTCACTGTCGGGGACACAGCAGGGGCATTTAACAGAATACTGTAAAGGTGTTTGTTTACATTTATAGCAGCCACTCCTAATGACAATAGCCTGCAGACACTGTGAGCAGAAATAATTAAAGCCATACTGCCAGCGCAAGTCATTAAAAAAAAAAATATTCAAATGGTATACGTACAGGAGAAATATAAAAATATCAAAACTTTTCGAAAAACTGAAATTTAGACGTATTTTTAAGCAGTTTTTATAGATCTGTGCATGTTTAATTAAGTAATATCTGACATATAACAGCTAAAGCTCTACCAATATATGGCATGGCTGAAAAGTGAAAACACTTTTGTGTAGAATCTTTACCCGTCGTGCCAGATGCTGAAGACATGTAGTATTATAGTAAATAATATCAATTGTAAAATAAGAGGTCACGCACTGACCTCTGCAGGGGTCGTTCTTAACCAGGAACTCATCAAGAGCAGTCCAGCCTCCTCCCACCCTCACCATCAACGTGCTACGCAGGATACGAACCATCCGCAACTGTTGGGAATCTCCAAACTGTGGACAAAATACATTAACAAGTTAAATATTTTTCAAGCAGCTTCACACAGCCTATCATAGGACGTTGCTGATGTTCCCGTGTGGCCGTCACTCCCTACAACTCACAGGACCAAATGTCACGGCTGCCTTTGAAGTGTCTTATTCATGGTCGACGAAGATGACTCACCCTGTATCTGTTGGCACTTATTTGCTCCACTTGGAACCTCTTGGGACAGTTACACTGAGATACCTGGCGACTCACCTAAATCAGGGCGAGAGTGCAACAGGCGCAGCGTCACATTGCGTGAACCACCACATGGATGTGTTGTGCAGTGCGCGCGCGGGGTCCATACCTCTTCGTTGATTTGATCTGCATCCAGCGTTCTCCTGTAGGGATCTCTGCTCGGGTGAAGGGCACTCACAAACTCGTAATAGTCGATGAAGCCGTCGCTGTTCACGTCGAAGATGTTTGCCACTGCGTTCATCTCTAGAGAGTTGGTGGGAAATTCTGCAGCGGAGAGATTTTTTTGTTCAAGAAAAGCAAATCTGAGAAACTAGGGTGTCGTAACGCCAACAACATCAGATGACGGTGATGGTAAATTGAATTCAGGTAATGATTTCCTTCGTTTCTGTTAATGGTAACTTAAAATGAACCACTGAGCGGGCGTCTTACTGGAGGCAAGGACATAGTCAACCAGTTCCTTCTGGCTGATGCGTCCATCTTGGTCTCGGTCGATACTGCGAAACACGTCTAGGATCCGTGACTTCAAATGACTGATCCACACCATGTAACGCTTTCGCCAAATATTGAAGTCGAAGTTTGCAAATTCCTCCATCTGAAAGGGGAAAATATGTTAAGGTCAGGTTGGGGAGAAGGACTCTACAGGCTCTACACACATCATGACCTCTTGAAATAAACACTAAAGCACAATAACCTCTTTGAGTGTTAGCTGCTGTTGCTCCAGGCGGTTTTGTCTCGCCACTGCCAGGAGCCAAAGTTTCTGCCACTGAGTGACCAGCTGACCGAGCTTTGGTGTCTGGGGGTCGAGGTGCTCCAGGGGAATAGGTACAACCGGCTGGAGCTTCAGAGTGCTCCTCCTCTCTGAAAGAAGATGCAACAACATGGGAGTCTGGAATCAGCTTAGGAAACTAATGAAGTCGCGCTGTAATGTTTTCATGCTGGCTTACTCGTGAGTGGCCGTTTGCTGGGGGAACATTGGCGTTTGGAAACGCTCTTGTGTTTGCAGGACTTTGTGGCATGTTCAACCTCTGGGAACTTTTTATTCAACTCTTCCATGAATACCTGCAGAGAAGAATGTCACATTTTACGGCAGAGTACTGTAGTTCCGTGTTACCAGGGTAACGTACCGCTTGTGGTTTCTTCTGGCGGTAAAGCGTTGTTATTCGATTAGTGCTAAGCACATATTTTACTATTCAATGCTACGGGTTGATGTTAGCAGAAGGGTATAGCTTATAGGAGGGAGGAGAATCCTACTGTGTGCTGCTCAATCAGTTCTTGGATGTGCTCTGTGGTCTCAGGCGGAGGCTCTTGGTCTCTGAGGTTGAGTGCTTCCTCTGCTGAGGAGATCCAGTCAAGCAGCCTCTGGACTTCCTCTTTCTCTGACTCCAGTGCTGCCAAGCCGGCCTGGATTCTCTGGCCTTGCTGCTGAGCCCAGCTGTGAACCTGAGTTGGAAAACAGGGAGTCGGAGGAAGTTATACCAGCAGATGCTCTCAATTGACACTTTACCAGTTTACTAATTGCCAAAGCCGTTCATAATATTTTACCCGTCTGATAGCAACTACGTTACTCATAATAAATCTGATGACTGTGGAAACCATGCTTTTTTTTTGGGGGGGGGGGGGGAATAAAAGCTCTCACCTCCTCATAGCGGGTCTTGGTGACACTGATCCAGGACTTCAGGGTGATTATGGAGTCTGGATGGCAGGAAGCCAGGATCTCCTCACCCAGACACTGGATGTTGTGCAACTCCACGGCCTGAGTCTGCAGGGCTCCCATCGATACCTTTTGGGGTGGGATGGGGGCAGTTATTCAGTAAAATACACATTCTCCATGAGTGTAACATTTCAGTCATTTCAAACTTGCTGATTTCTTTTGGGGTTTTAAGTGTTACGGTACAAATGAATGATCAGAGTAAACGTGAACCGAGTGAACTCAGTCTCCAACTTACTGAACAACGCTTGATAACACTGAAACCCTGATCTTTGACCTCCCCCTGAAGCAGAATGCATTTCTCCGAAGGGAGTGATGAAGTATCGCGTTATACTGACCTCGTGCTGTTTGCGGAAAGAGAGCAGGCCCTCTTCCTCCTCTGGTATCACGCCGTATTTCAGTATCCTCTCTGCCTCGGTGAGGCGCTCCATTAAAGAGTGGACAAGACCAACAAACTTTTCAGCCTAACGAGAACAGAGACAACGACAAATATAACAGCAGTTGGTTGGTGCTAATTTATTAACTTTGTTAATGGTCTAATCCTCTGTCATCATCTGTTTTCCCTTCCTGATATGATAGAGCTGCGTTCTGGATTTTAATGATGTCTGGGTGTGGTTTCATGCACACAGCCTCAGCTTCAGTCAGGCTGTCAATTAAGAACCTAAAAGCTCATTTATCGTTCACCTTTATTATCTGTGGGAACTACCTGCTGAAGAGCGGCCTCCAGTCTGTCTTGCCTGCTGACGGACAGTTTGCACACAACCTCCCAGCGGACCTCCAGCTCCTCCATCTGCTCCTGCAGCCAGTGAGCGTCGGCTGTGCTGCTCCTGGTCAGGTCCCTCACAGAGCGCTTCAGCGTCCGGATGCATCCGGCTCGCTTCCCCAACTCCTTTTGGAAGGCCTAAGGGGAAAAACGGAATTTGCAATTGTGCTGTAAGATATCATTTTGGACAAAACGGTGAAAAGTACGCCGCTCAAAGACAGACATATAACCAACAATTCAGTATGAGTTTAAATGTTTTCGTATATTCACTGAAAGAAAATTCAAGCTTATGATAACAGTTCTACCAAGGCATTAGAAATACTTCTAAATACATTCTACGTTAGCATGAATCCTGCACTTTTACTGTAGATGAAGATATTTATTACGCTTTAACATTGTTAAATATTGAGGCCACACATTAAAATGCTCTCTGAACATCGTGCCTTGTGTTTGTCGATCAAGTTGTTGACCATGTCTTTGTCCCCACCGACAGGAACGTCCTCGGCTAGTTGGGGCTCGGCTCTGTACAGCCAGTCGTTCAGTGCCTGGAGGGCGTCGGTGAATCGGCCCGAGAACAGCAGTGCTTCCTCCAGCTTGTGTTGTCTGAGAGAAGCAAACCACAACATTCAGGTAGATGTTTCAAACATGAATGTGCCCCAGCTGTAAACCCAGATCCGTACCTCTCCATAGACTTGCCGCTGACGGTGTCCCATGTGTCTTTGAGCTCAGCCAGGAGATTCTCCACGTGTTGTCTATCATGGCCGGTTTGAGCCCTTTCATGAAGGCAACGTCCGTTCTTAGATGTTGCATCGTACATGGGCCTCTTTGACCGGAGCAGTTTCTGGAACTCCTGTTCACAAAGCAATTGGTCGGCGAAGCATTCCTAAACATACAGCATGCAACCACTACGCCATTTATTGTCACACCTATCGCACCTTCTGTTCAGTCAGCTGTTGTTTAATCTCCTCGTGGGTCACAGCGATCTCTTTGTGTGTGTCCAATGTCTGTTCCACCTCCGCCATCCAGTCCACTAGCAGGCGCCACGATTCATTGAACTTAAGCGTGAGAGAAATAAAGACAGATATTAAATAAAAGGTCTGGAGAAAGACTGAGGTCAGCCCCCCGCCCCCATATTGGAGCTGATGTATTTGTACGCATACCTGTTTGGCAGACTTTTTGACCTCCTCCAGCGTTCTGCCTCTTTCTGAAGCACGCTGCTGGAGCTTTTTGTGGCGGTCTTGGACGGTCATGATTAGGTTATGAATTACATCGCAGTCTTCCTTCCGGCTCAGCTCTATTAGTCTGCGGGCTGTGCTCTCCATGGTGGTCCTCTTCTCCCCGTAACCGTTCACCTCATTCACCAGCGTCTGCACAAATAAAAAGTATTTTAAGGCATTAGTGGCTAGTTTAAAATCTGTATACTGAGCAGAAAGAGACAGCAGATGTAAAAATGCATACTCTATGTTCCTGCAGTTGAGAACAAACTCGCTCCAGAACAAAGCTGGGAGCAGGAAGAAACCCAATAGACTCTTCACACTTGGTCATTTTAGTGAGAAGTTCCTGGACGTTGCTGTGGAAGTCCTTGGCCAGACTCAGTCCTTCCGTAAGCCTCGCCTGTGGGAAGAGCACGGCAATCGGATTAAAAGACTCACTCAGTTGACGATAGATCCACGGGATGTCATGCGAAGCGTTTAATCACCTTTCGCTCCTGGACTTTGCTGAGAACCGATGCCCATTTCTGTTCAAGAATAGATAAGCTGTGCTCGGTGCCCGATCCCCGCACAACGTTGCCTTCCAGCATCCTGTGGATGGCGTTCTTCACGTCGGTGTAAGCGTGGAGCTTAGACTCCATCTCGTTGCACAACTCCTTTTGTTGAGGGAAAGAATAAAGAGTCTCAACTTGATAAGCTTTTTTTTTCTTATTTTTTGCATCATTCTTGTGTATGAAAAGTTGGGTCAAAAGTCTGATCCATTTTACCAAATGTGCATTGAGCCTTTCACTGGCAGAGTCCGGCATTCCCCATACGGTTTTAGAGGAGGACAATCTCAGATCTGTGTTCTCAAGCCACTGCAAGAGATCCTGGATCTCCATGGTAACATCTTGTACCTGAAGAAAAAAAAACAATGAATGCAAAAGGTGACGTTGGTGTCTGCTCACTACAGTTATGGTGACACAGTTTCAATGTTCAATTCGATGTAACATCAATTATCATCACCCTTTGAATTCTATTTACTTCAAGCATAAGAGGAACAATGACTGCAAAACGGGTTTTTTTAAAGCCGACAATTTATAGTTCATAGCACGTCTACACATTTTCGTGTGTAATCTTTACAATCACCACAAGAGGGCGCATGATAAACTACAAAAGAAAAATGTAGGCTCTCGATAAAGAGCATAACTATGGAAAGCCATTTGCCACAAAAAAAAACAAAGGAGGGTTAGAAAGTCGAAATTATAACTTAAAGTCGAAATTAAGAGATAAGAAGTCGAAATTATGACTTAAGAAATCGAAATTATGAGAAAGTTGAAATTTTGTGGTTTTTGTAGTTATTTATTTGTTCATAAAAAAAAAATATATATATATATATATATATATATATATATATATATATATATATATATATTTGTATCTATTTTTAGATATATTTTTGTATCTATTTTTAGATATATATTTGTATCTATTTTTACCTGACTCAGTCCGTTCTCTAATTCCAACTGCCTGCGTTCAGTCTCGCAGCGGACAAACTCCCAGCTGTCATTGAGTTGGTCCAGCTGAGGCAGCAGACCATGCGGGCTGTCCCCCGACCCGATCTCCAGCAGCCCCCTGCCCGCCTGGTTAAGGGACTCGACCGTGCGAACATGGGACATGACATCGTTACGCAACACCTTGCAGGAGGAAAAAGCAAACAAGGAAAAGTGGGATTCAAATGTATTGCTTGGAGGTGTTTGGAGATCATATTGGCTTCACTCTTCATGACAGGAGGAACTCTGTTATAATAAGTACTCAACATTGTTTTTAGGCCCCCACCAACCTTGTGTTTGGCCAGCTCTATTTCACAGGCCTGCAGGTCGATGCTGATTGGCCGACTGCCCTGCAGTTGTTCAGCTGTTCTGGAGAGCCACGTGTGCAGCTCATCCAGTGTGTTTTGGAACTGGCCCAGACCCAGCAGAGCACACTCCAGCTGATGCTGATGTCGGCACAGGAGAAAAAGAATAATATATATCATTATTATTAACATTTTCCCAGTTAAAGGTAGGTTCTAACTGAGCTGAGTCTGTTCTTTACATGACTTTAAACTTAATGGATAGCATGATAGCATTGTGCATATAATAATAGCATGCTAATATCAATATTAATTCTTATAATAATAATAATAGAATCTGATTGCATGTTCCCACCTGTCTGCTGACAGTCTCTGACTCCAAGCTGTCCCAGCGCTGTCTGAAGTCACACAGAGGGGACACGGAGCTTGGACGCTCTGAGCCGGGAGAGAGCCGGCACACAAAGCGATGGTTCAGGCTTTCTATCTCTATCTTCTTCTGGTAAAGTTCTCGCTTAAACTCCTGCAGAAAAGAATAGAGTGAGAATATATGTGTATAAATGAGCTATGCTCATGCAGGATATGTTTTCTGTTGTAATAAAATACACACAAAGCCAAACGCCCTGTTTCCACGAGACCACATTTTGTACATATATGAGAATAAACTTTGCTAGTTACAGCTGTAATTCAGCATATACACTCACCTTGAGATCACGTAGTTGCTGTTTGACGGATTCCAGGTCACTTCCTACTATGAACTCCTCAGTAGACCTCAGCTCGGCTGACTTCAACCACTCAAAAAGACCCTATTAGCAGCACAACAAGGCATGATAACTGATATATACAGATTTAATATACAACCATTCCGTCATGTTGTGTGATTTTAACATTGAAGAAATCTTCTCTAGAGCAAATTGCGTAACCCAAATTGGTAAATGCAGCTCGATACATTTCACTGTCTCACACAGTTTGCACCATTGATCTCATTTGCCTTTGGCAGAGGTCCACACGATCTGTCAGTCGCTTCATAAGAAAACTACGGGGAGTGAGAGTCTGAACTTATTGTAACAGAATCAAATGATTGCTGTGACTTTGGCTGGATTCTATTACTCTGCTTGTTGGAGGCGTATGTGGCCAGAGCATCCTGTTTGATATGGACACACATTGACCATGACACATTTGTTAGCGTATGGCTTATGCACATACACTAATACTGCAAATGGACACTCACCTGCAGGGTGTCTTGATAAAATAGCGCCATCTGCAAGGACTCCTCCAGCTTTGTGTGACATTCATTCCACAGTTTCATCAGCTGGTTCCACGTGCAATAAAGCTTCAAGACACCAAACAGGTTTTAAGTTAGTCACCATGAGTTAAAAAAACGTATTTGTATTCAAATGTGTTTCATACTTCATCCAGGCTCTTTGTGACATCGGGTTTGTCCGTATCGCCACATGCTGACATCAGATCCATTCCCAGAGCACCTAGGGTGTCCAAATCTCCCTGTAAACTGTCGATATCCTCTCTGAGAGTCTGGAATAATAGAAAAGTTTATGTTTTGTCATCTTTATAACAATGAGGATGTCTCATGCGTAATTCCTTTAAGAGCTTCCAGACAAACCTGCATGCTTTCGAGGCTCTGGCGGATTGTTTCAGAGTCGGTCTGACTAGCGTTTAAATCCAAAATGGCCTGCTGAGCATCACTGAGAGCGGCCGTGACATCGTTGATGTCACTCCAGTACTTCAAGGCAAGATCCAAGAGTTTTAAAAGCCAACTTTCTCCTTCCTGAGCCTGAGCATGCGTCTCGTCCCACAGCTGGGACAAGCTGGACACACGCTCTTGTATTGCTAAAATCAGGAAACAACAACGATATTGCTTAGGATCAGCCCTTTTCCCCACTTACTCGGGTACTAGGTCAACATCAGTATGCAATATAGCTTCTGAGAAATCATGGTTACCTGTACCGACAGATCCATCACCAGCGGCCAGCGTGTTGGCCAGAAGTTCATCTGCCTGTGTCTTCACACTGCCGAGGTCGAGCTGCAGCTTGGACAGCTCGGCCCGGGTGTGTTTGTTGTCCTGCAGCTGCTCCTGGATCCTCGGGGTGAGGCCTTGAAGTGAGGTGTGAGTCTGCATGTGACTGCGGAGGCGGTCCAGACTCTCTCTGATCAGGGTCATCCTCTCATTCAGCTACAGAAGGGAGAACATATGTTGTGTCATATATTGCAAAGTGTTGGTGCAATCCATTCATCTCTTTGGGTGAACCCATGCAGCCCTACCTGCGTAAATCGAGGTAACGACTCCTCGAGTACGTTGGCGGCCTCTCTGACCCGGTCTCTGATGGTCCTGTGCTGCTCCTCGGCCTCCGTCGCCTTCCGACTGAACTCATCCCCCTGAAGGGGGTTTAGTTCTGACAAGCGTTTTGCCAAAGAGCATAAGCGTGCTATCAAAGGTCTGTGCTCTGCTATAGACTCCCTCAGGCCCTAAGGACACAAGTAGTAACAAGAAACGTTTAATTGTATTAATGGAGAGGATGGTTTTAATTCAGAAAGGAGCTGATTTGAGATGAATCTAAACAGCATTATAGTGAACAGGTTGAAAGGTAACCCTCTTGGGAAGTCATTAGCAGTAATCTTCTGTATTATAAGAGATCAGCTCAGGAATACGGTGACAGATTGTGAAGTACAAAAGGACGTCTTTGTCCAACTGGCCAAAGAACGGTATTAGAGGGTAAAAAAATAGAAAAGCTGGCATTCTATTTGGGAGAGGCAGCTTTCCTCTACCTGTAAGAGGTCCTGTTGTTCCCGAAACGCCTCATAGCTAATTGTGCTCATGGAAAGCCGGCCAATCAGGGTTTGGGTTTCTTGGAGCCAGGGCGAGACCTCCTCGATGCCCTCAGAGAACTGGAGAAGAAGCGACTGAGCGTGCTCAAGCTGCAGCACCACGTGGGAATTGGTGGCTGAGATGGTGTTGCATTGCTCCTGCAAGGCCTCAAGCGGGGTCTGCGTGGGAGAGTTGACGGCAAAATATATACTGCATAAGTATAAACACCCAAAAATTACATTTGTTTACATGTTTAGTCGTTTAGTTAAGAAGAAATGAGTTGTGGCAAATACCTGCAAATCGTATGTTTCTGTTTCATCACTGTACGTCAGCAAGATTTCTGCAATCTTCACCATCTTCTCAACGTTGAACCTGTGTTGGAGGATCTCCACTGCCAAAATCTGTTCAGGACATATTAGATCCAGTTTTAATTAATCTCCCAATCTTAAAACTAAATCTCTACAGCCAACAAGTGACAGAGACATGCAATGTTTGTGGTCAAATATTCACTCAGTTTACTTTTACAGTTAGAATTTGTATAAAATCCAAACCTTCTGTTCGTAAAGTTGTTCTGCTATGAGCTTTGGATCCAGGTGAATAGTTTTCAGCTTTTCAAGACTCAGCGCTGTGTCTCTGAACCAAGCCACCTCCTTAACCACGGCCTGCTCCAGCTGATAAACATATTACGCTACGTTTCAACTGCTTTTCATTGAATGAAAGAAAGAATTATTTCATCCGCTCATTGTGCATTAGTGCGGGAACGTTACCCTCTGTCTCTCTGCTGCACACAGTACTGCGTCTCCAGCATGCGCCTGCGCTCCCGCTGCCCCCAGCAGCTCCCTCTCGATGCGGCCCAGCCACAGGTGGAGGTCCTCCTGGCTGGAGGTGCAGCGGCTGGAGGCCTCCAGGGCCTGATCCAGCCTCTGCAGCACATCCAGACTGCTTAGACTCAGCACAGAGCAGCGGATACGCAGAGCGTCCATCTTCTCCTGCACCTGCTGGGCCTCCTCGTCTGGAACGGGACAAACAGGGAACATGTGGAATTGATTCTCTAACAGATCTGGTGGAAACTCCTCTGGGTTGTTTGTATTGGTTTGACAGTGAAATCAGATTGCAAACAAAACCAAATATGGGGCTATTTATTCATATTATTTTGAATAGATTTTAACATTTTGTTGTGAAATGGTCAGCTGATGCTTTTTGGGGGATTGTTTTTTTTATTTTTCCAGCCTCAATGAAGATACTGTGCCAATAAGGTTCGCCATACGTAGTAATTATTACCTGAAATCGCTTCCATCAGAGCATGTCCCGACTTTTGTATTTTCCCTAGCTCAGCCGTTTTGACTTGAATCTCTTCGACGACCGCCTAAAGCAAAGAGAAGACACGGTCACGGTGATGATTCTTGACTCAAACAGCACGATGCACATTTACCACACCGCACGTGCAGTTGAACCACACATGGTGGATTTCCAACCTTGGCCTTGTCCGTGGCCTCTGAGAGACGCAGCATCACTCGCTCCGCGTTGCGTAGTTCAGCGACGGTCTGTTCCACCGACATGAGCCACTGCTGCAAGCTGTCAACTCCTTCCTGGAAGAGCTGGGCCCTCGGCAGAATGAGCTCCAGCGTCGCTCTCCTACCCACAACAAAATGTAACCATCGGTCACTAACACTGCTATCAGTTATTTGACCTTGAACAGGGACAGCGCATTGTTTGGTATGAGCTTACTATCTACAGTGCTGCTTCAGCGAACGTAAAATAACCTCTTTGTTCAGAGAATCAGTGATGCTGCAGCACTGTCATTTATAATTTGGTGTAGAACGCCGGGTCGAATAGGCTGGCCTGCCAAACTTGGTAAATCACCTCATTTGGTGGCCCTATTATCCGAGTGCCGGGATATGAACTCTTTCAATGGCCGGAGCCAGATCACTGACCACTTTGTACACTAAGCTCGCCTCAGCAAGACCCACAAAGCCGTCAAAGGTCATCAGCTTGTACCTTTTGGATAAACTTACAATGATGGTAATTTGTTACAATGATGGTTCTGTGACTCATGCATTAAGCACTGCCAGTAAAAGTAGCTGACCTTTTCTCCGCACCCAGCTGTAAGGCTTCCCACTTCCGTGTGAGAGCAGCCAGCTTGACTTTTTCCTGCTCCCCCTCCTCTCCGGGGTGGGCCTCCACAAGTCGAGGGCCCTGCAACATCATGGAGTCCATGCTACGCCTTCGGTCTGTCAGGAGGCGCTGCAGGAGCTGTAGATGTATGTACCCGTATGCAGAAAGACAGAACCACGAGAATAAAGACAATATTTCAAATCTCCACTTAAAGAATCTTCTGTATAAAATAAAAGTAAAAGTAAAAGTTCTCAGTGCTGTTTGGGAAATTACGATGCTTCCAGTAGGAATTAACCTTCATGAAAGCCCCATTCTTGTTTTTTCTGCCTTTGGGTCAGCGTGTCTCGTGTGTCAAGCTCACATTGTCAAGAGTCAGGCAGGTTTCACCTCATCCAAAGAGCAAACAATGGGTGAGATTACAGCGGAAAGGTGGGAGACCCTGTTTTTTCTCATACCCCCGGGAAAGGTTCACAAAGACTCATTGTGGCTTTGAACACCACCCATTCACGGCTGAAAGGAACTGAATTCACGTTGTTAAGGAAGCAGTTGAGCATTTTGTCGTGACCCCGGCACACCTTTCTATAGGTAAACCTTACAGGTGTATTCAAACTACTAACATACGTAGAATGCGGTTTTCTGGAACAAGAAATTAGGTGATGTAATGTTTTAAACCGACCTTTTGTTCTTGGAGCTGTGCTTTCACCACTTTGACCTCCGAGGATGGCGGTTTCTGATTGGCTGTGAGCTCCTCTATCTCACTGACCCATGTGAGCAAAGCTTCCAGGTTTTGGAGGAATGTCTCAGAATCTGTTGAAACATCCCTCAGAGACAAGGCAGATTTTGTTCCCTTGAGAGAGTATAGAGTATATAACATATGATTAGCTAAAGTTTGCATGAAAATGCTGCTCTCGAGAAGCTGTTGCAAAACAAGGAGAAAAGAGTTCAAATCAGTAAAGTGTTCAAACGTACTCTCCATCTATCCAGGCTGGAATCCTGATCTGAGCTTGAGTGTCCATCACTTTGGAGCTGGAAAATAAAGACAGTGGACATGTTGTTCCAATGGACAAAATTGCTGTTTTAAAAAGAGCCAACCTGTTAAAGGAACCAAACATTGATTTTGCAGAAACAGTAGGTGGTATTATGACATTCAGATGAGAAGAAGAAAGGATGAAATGGAAGATTTGTTGTGTTTGAACGTATTCTTTATCAACCTCAGCGAGTTCCTCGGCGGCACCGTTCAGGATTCTAACAGTTCTGGTGACAACGGGGTCGCCTCCTTTGTCTCCAGACGGATACTCTGTCACTTCCACAATCTCTGTAACGACCGTCTCCGTCACCTCCGTCACCTCCGTCACCTCGCGGGATGCAAGAGTCTTCCAGGACCAGGGGCTTCCTTCTCTGGAGTCTCTCCTCTGGAAGCTGCCCCTCCTCTCGGCAGAGGCCCGGTCCGGGTGAGCCAGAGGGGAACGGGTATACTCTGGAGGCACAGCTCTCCTCGTCAGCGTCCCATTTCGGGATGTTTTTATCGGGGAAGGGCTGCTGTGCCAGGCGTTGTTGTCCAGCGTACTGGTGCTCCTGATTGTGGAAGTTGGAGAGCTACGCAGGGGTTTCTCCGAAATGGGAGTTTGAGCCCTGACCTCCCTGTTGTGATCGATTTCCTGTGCCTCCTCGTCCCTCTGCACCTCTCCTTCCTTGCATGCCTCCTCTCCCGCTTTGTCTTTGACCGCCATTTCGGGTTTGGGCTCCCCATTTTGCTCCGCGGGTTGACGTTCCCTTCGCCGTTGGTAGCACTCCTTCAGGAAGGCCTCGTCTGACCTGACATGCTTGGACTTCTGACCCAGGCAGCTGGGCCGGCTGATGAGGTTACCCATAATCCTTCAGCCCAGAGGCTAGTGGGGTAGTAGGTGAGGTAAGGCCCCTCGGCCATGCATGCAGAAGATCCTTCAGCTACCTAAAATCAGACAAGGGGGCTCTGGGTCATCAGGCAGTGAACAATTGCTCATTGTGTAAATCAAAGAAAAATATATACAGCTGATCTTCTGTCTTTAAAAGCACAACTTCCCCGCAGCAAAGTCCATAAATACTGCAATGAGACAACGTGAACAAGTCCCTCACATCCTTTTAAATGCTACATATTTGTGCCAACATTGCCCTTTTCTTGGCACCGAAAGACCACCAGGACGCTTGGCCTGGATACTCGCTGTCCCTTTGTCTTCCTCTGGACCACATACACACATGCTCCCCATCTATCTCACAACACCAACCAAAATATTCTGGGCTTAGAAATCAATGTGACAGGCTTGTCGAGGATCCCACTGTTGAGCCTGGCACGCAGAACCGGTGGCAGACAGCCAGCTCTTTCTCCAGCTCAGCTTGGACCAATCCTGGGAAACCCGTTAAGGATCTGATCGATAATAAATTATGACAGGCATAAAAAACGCTGACATCGCCTCATTTTTCAGGGGTGACAATAAGAGCGGGATTAGGAACGTGGGGGCAGCGCGGGGTAGTTGGGAAAACAGTACCAAAACAACCTGGGCTTTTCCTCCACTGCTACATCGCCTAAAGACAATGCTGAATCTAGGAATGATCACACATTGTTTGAACAAAATCCCTGCATTACCCGGAAAGACTCTCGCTGCAAGTGACATTTTCAAACTGTGTCAGCCCGTCTGCTCGGCGCTCAGCTCAGTGCCTCCATTGTTTTGACTGAAGGGTTAAGGGTGAATGTAATTATCTTGGCCTGGAGGAGGTGAGCCCATCAGGAGATCACAAGGTCCCTGTTGACGACGGGTCCTTCCTCTGCAGGCTGGGTTGGACTAGTTAATTCAGAATTACACAGGTCACCTCAGGTCACGCTTGGTGACCTGAGATCTACGGGAAGCCGATATGGGTCAACAAGGGGGAAATTGGGATGTTGGCTTAACTAACTACTGGGAGGGATCTCTTTCTGCCTTGGAAAAAAGCAGAAGAGGTGAATTTGTGATGGGTAACTATGCTACAGCTCTGCTCTAGGCATAATTATGCTGAATATGCAGCTTATCTTCTCTTTACCACAGGCAGTCTGCATCAGAGGAGAACGGTGTGCTCCTGTCAATTTTCACACCGTGTCTGAATTAAACCTCATTTTGTGTCCCCCCCCAAACTACTCATAATTAACAACTGTATATCATGTTTTTTAAATAAATGAAAATCTCAAATATGACCTAGTTTAATACGATGACTCCATGTGCATTAGGCAAGTAATTACCAACATCGTGTATGTCTCTGCAGAGCAGATGATGTAGTCAGTGGATCCACAGGGGAGAACACAGTCAGATGAGAGAGCGGTGCCCAGACAAAGCCCCGGCCTCTCGATCAATGATTACCCAGTTAGCTCAGATCACTGCCCAGCGGTCTCCGGAGGAGGGCAGAGACGGCGTCTGTGGCCGTGTTCATACGGGTTAACAATTGGGAGGGAGAGGGGAGAGGGCGTGCCGTGTCTGGTTACTGCTGTGTGCATGTGTGGTCGTTTCCTAAATCTAAAAACACGGTGTCCTTCACTGTATCCTCGCAGTAACTTACAGTATGTGAGGACATGCTGAGTAGACCCATTAGAGTGCACATGGAAGGATACTAGGAATATGTTAGTAAAATGAATATGCAAATGTGTTGTTTTATTATGTCTACCAGACTCGCCCACAAGCGCTAACATACGATTTACTTTTCTCTTATGAGTCTTATAAATCACTTTTGTCGCCCTCATATGAAAGAATATAATAATACGATGACCTATTTTTTTCTACAGCAACAGCAAACCAGATTCCCTCCCAAAATGCCTGGCGCCTGTATCGGATAAGCACCTCTCACTCTCATAGCGTAATGATATTAGAAAGAGAACGAGGGAACCACCCATTGACTTATTGTGGATGACCCACCCATCCCATTACTTAACCTATTTTGAAATGGCCCTTCATTTAGACAGTCTTCTCTCCGCCCTCAACAATGATTTATGATACATGACCACAGTCCATTTCCTGATGAATTGGATTACATAGCGTACAAGCGACACATGAAAACAATCCTAAAATTGTTGTTTGCGAATACCTCAGTTTCACATTTCACATCTAATTCTCCTCTAAATTTCAAAACAGGAAATGTTTTCAAATGTTCTCAGCAACACCTCACAACAAAACACCACACAAAAGATCTAATGTTTGTCTCATTCATTGCATCAACTGACACATTCATATGATCCAGGAAGCATTTTCCGGGTGGGTTTGGAATTAATAGCAGAATAATAATCATCAATCACAACAGTAGAGTGCCACGATGTTGTGTCACTGGTGTGCCTGCGTTAAGGGAGGTCCTGAAGTAGTAATCAGGGTAGTGGTCCCTAATCAAGGATGGCAGCTGTGCATCCACCCGTGAGAATGAAAACATCTTAGGGTGGATATCGTACAAGGTCACCCGTTAATCTCAAAGGCAGCCCTCTAAACACGCGACACAGAGCCAGTGTGTAGAATAAAAACAGCATGGCTTTGGGTAAATGAATGGCCATGTTAATCAGGAATCTGAAACATTTCGTGAAATCAGAGCAGCTAAGAGACTATTTACAAAGAACAAACTGCATCAGGTTCACACTGATGCTTCCTCTGTACTGGAATATCTCATTGCTATGTTGCCTTTTAGAATAGGTGAAGACTCATTCCCCGTCACATGGCTCCCTCAAGTACAAAGTCCAAAACCAAACTCTCGGTTGGAGCCAATCCCTGTGTGTTCCTGGCAGTTTTGGCGGTTTGAAGCTTGCGTGAACCCCACTTACCCCGAAGCACCGTGGAGCCAAACCGCATGAGTAACGGAATCCAGCCAGTCCTCAATCACCATTCAAAAAAAGAGAAGAAAAAAAATCCAGCTTTTGTTTGAGCATCCTTTTGAATGGCCTCCAAGCTCCAACATCCCAAACAGGAACAGTCCTCACACGCATGCTCCTTCCATCGCACACTCATTCACACATGCCCACAAACAAACACTCTCTCTGAACATACTCACACATGCCCTGATAACTCATGCTTTTCCGTTGCCCACAGTCACAGGCAAACAATGTCCTCCTCTCCCCTCACAGCGCACCCCCCCTCCCCTCCCCTCCCCTCACTTCACTTCCCCTCCCACCAGCTCTGCTCCTCTCTCCTTTCTTCTTTGTTGTGGGAGCTGTGATAGAGGAATTCCTCCCCTGTTAACGCCGCCGATGGGATAGCGCGCCCGGATGGAGACAATGTATTCCGACGGCTCAGTTGAACTCCCACAGTTCCCGGCCAGCAGCAGCAGTTTCTCCCACGGAGGTCGGACGGAGGCGGTTGCAAGGTAACGATGAGGCGGTGGCCTTTCCCACCAGCTGCTGGTGCCCAGGTTGCTCCTGCACCGGCCAGCGAGGCGGCAAAGTGCCCCCTTTACCTTCCCCCGGGCTTTTTTCCCCCTCACTCTCTCGCCCCTTCTCACCCAACAAAGCCCCTCCTCCGGGTCTGACTGGAGCTCTGAAACTCCATGCTGCTTCTGCTTGAAAAATGGGACGGGTGGGGGGGGGCAAAAAAAGGGAGAGTTTTCTAAAGACCCCCGGGGCCGCCCACGGAACATTCACATGTTAAGTGACAGCTGCCTGAGACCGTTCCCTCTCTCGACGGCGAGGGAGGGAAGTGCAGGCTACAAAAGGAGGGACCCACACCCCTGCTACCCCCCCCCCCCCTCGCTGTCCCCCATCCCCATTCACAGTCAGTGCAGCAGTCTCCACAGCAGCAACAAAGACGACTAATTACTGTAAAACATCTCAGATTACTTTTCAACTCCAGCCACCGCAACTAAGGCCCGTCCGGAAACAAAGGGGCTGGAAGCAAACACACTCACAAACACAAAGATAAGGGGGCAATGGGCAGAAAATACAGTCTTTGCATGGGAAAGCAAAGGAAGGACCCCCATGGTGAAATGCTATCATGCCCTGTTTCAATAAGTCACAATATTTGCCCCGGGAAGGCAGAACGCCAAACATTCGGTGTACAAATACCACTACAGCAACGCTGCTGGCATTTCCTGGCGTTTGAAATGATGGCAGGTGTTTATTTATTCAAGTGATGTGGGATCGACTAGTTTTTAAAACACCACAAAGATGACTGACTTTTTATACCTTAATGGACAGGTGCACTGAAACCCAACGTGCATGCAGGTGACTGTCTCACAAAGAGGGTTTCTACGCTTCAAATCCGGCGCTCTTATAGTCCTTTCCCCTCTGTCTTTCTCCAGCCAACCAAATACCAAATGTCTGCATGCATGTACAGCACACACTCTCTCATACAGCCTCTACAATAAACACACACACACACATCCATGCAGACATCCGCTACTCCGCCTCCTCTCAAATCCACAAGAGTTAGTTATTAGTTAAAGGAGAAGGCTTCTGATTGAATGACAGATATATTTAGATATGCTTTATACGAGTTAATATAACAAGACCAATATGCCAGAACACAAAGTGATAAATATTCACGGGAAACAATACTGATAAAATATATTAGTTTCTGGTATTTAGTCTTTCACCCTGTGATGTCAAAGAATAAATGTGATTACGTTTATGTGCCTTTCTACTGGGATTCCACCATGCAAGTAGATATTTCATCTCATAAAATATAATATAATCAATACCACCCACTCCAGTGTAAAGTGCCTTCTGTGTTACATGTGAGGGGAAAGATCTTTAAACATGTCAATGCAAACACGGTTTATTGAGCAGGAAATGTGTGCAGAGTCCGGATTTATTCGTTTTTGGTCTGCAGGATAATGATGTAACTCCATTAACAAAGTCTTAAGTTCACTATATTCAACAGGAGCTTCATGCAAGGTTTGTAGCTTTCAGGATTCCAAATACAGTATACTGTTTAATTCAAATACAAATGTTGGTATGACATCAGTGAAGATTGAATACTGAAGATTGTATTGTGTCACAAAAACAAGCAAATAAAATGTTTCAGATCGCAGAAAAAAGTCACAAAATGAATCACGATACTGTCCTCTAGCTAGACAGTTAACAACATATAGAACTTCAGTGAGCGCCTTGCAGCTGCTTCAAGTATCCAGAACGACCCTCAGCCCCCTTTCTCTTACCGTCCCATTTCTAACCCCCCCACACACACCCGCCAACCCACAGCCTTAATTTATACAAATAGTGGCCAAAAAAAAAAGAAAAAGGGAAGCAAACTGAAAATAGCCGTGACTGTGGCTGAAGAGAGAGAGAGACAGAGAGTGGACAGAAAAGACCCCTGTGGGGTCAAGTTATTTAACCCCGGAGTACTCCAGTGCTGACGTCTCTTCCTGATCACACCAACATCCCTTGCATCTCACAATAGTACCGCGACCAGGCGATGAGGATCATATCAATATATAACCAGCACTGCCTGCTGAAAACACACAGCTCCACACACACAAACTCAGGCAGAGTTTGTTCAGGTCACTTGGAGAGCCAATGTCTTTAGCTGTTTAATGAGAGTAAATTCCTGCACCCCCCCGTCTTTATCTAAAAGCAGCTGGCTTCACCACTATTCCAGAAACAACAACGCTGTCAAAACCACGACACCTGATCCCGGCTTTCAGCAAACCTCCAGCTCCCTCTGTACTAACGAAATGATTTAGCCAAATATCTCTCATTTCACGGTCGGTGCACACATAGAGTTCTTAGAAAGAGCTGAAGAGAAGCTGGCACGCTGAGCTATGCGCTGATGCAATGAGCAGCTAGCTACTGGTGGGCCGAAAGAGAGCTCATCCTTCAGTCAGCGGCCTTCATCTTCCTCCCAAAGAGCATGCGTCAATGGAGAGGACACAGGTCGGGAAATAAAGTGATTCCAAATTACTGCCTTTACAGGCTTGTTTTCCGCCTCCTCTGCTTTCCCAAACTCTCTGCTACCGTAAATAAGACCTCAACGGCTCCTCTGCGGATCATGGTAATTAGCCCTCTTCATGAGGAATGAAAAAAAGAAGGAGGGGTCCCTTTTGAGCGCCATTCAGAGTGCACACGGTCATTTATTACCCGAAGAGGTTGCTTTGGGATGAAAGGCCGATGGGCTCCCCCGCTGGGTCGCCCAAGGCCCTGCTGGGCGGCATGGATGCTGGAAATCACAGTCGGATTTGGCCACTCGGGTGTAGAGGAGCTCGACTCATCATCGACGCCGTGTTTGATTTGTGCGAAGACGGGATTTACTGCCGTGGGTCCGCATTTAGCGCTGAGCACAGGAAGCCGAGTGCAATAAAGCAAGAGGCCCTGCGTTGAACCATTAACCCTGATAAACTGTGTGAATCAAAACACCTCTCAACGGAGAGATTTCCTCAAGTGCTACGAGACGAAAATCAATTTGACACGCCGCAAGAAGTTAGGTCCGCGGGAGAGAAAAGTTGACTTGGCCGCCACCTCTGCATTCTTCACTCGTCATCCTCTTGTAGGTGATTCACAGCGTTGACAATAAGCAGCCTTCTTTCCCAAAGGTTATGACGGCATCAGAGAGCGGGGATGCTGTTTGCTAGCTTGTCAGGAGCAGAGAGGAGAGGATAACAGACTGTGACCTCTCACCCCTCTTTCCAAGGCCTGTTTTCAACTTGTGTGTACAAGACGTATTTGGGATGCAGCATCTGCCGCAGGCTGAGGAGGGAGAGACCTTTCAGACACAGGGAGCCTTTATGCAGAAGAGCCTCACAGGCAAACAGGAAGAAGAACTTTTCACCTCCAACTAACTGTCCAAGTGAACTAACATATATTTTACTATCACTCAGGAACATGAGGACTTTCTTTTCACAAAAATTGGCAGGTGCATGATCATTTCATGAAGTTAAGTTCACAAACAATTGGCAACAGAGTCTTGGTCATTGCCATGGATTGGTTAAGGCGAGGTAAAAACACTCGACACACATTAGTCTGAGTCCATTGTTCGTATTTTTGATTTTATTAATTAAACGGAGATTGAATCGAAGGTACTGCAACGTCCATCCAGATGCTATTTTGGAGTTTCTTTAAATACATCCTCAAAGGGCAACTCTATCAGCTGAGGAATGATGTGTGATACCATTGGAAGCTCCAGCGCGGAATGGCTACTTTCAAATCAACTTAAATATGACCTATTCTGTGAGCCTGATCAGTTGGTGTTCTAATATCATCTTAGCATAAGCTTGCTTCACAGTTAACAAATGATGCAAACATGCACAATTGGTGAAGTAATGACTTGTTTTCTGAGTTCCTGCTCTATTAATACTGTTGGATTTTTTTCATATTTATCCTAGTGCTCAATCCTAAAAAAAAGTTGTCCGGTGCACGCCTTGTGTTAAGAAGCAGGTGTGTGCCTCTCTCCTGTGTATTGTAGACGTCGTATGGGTGGGTGGGGGGCTGCTGCTGAGGGACGTCCTCATTCATGCAGCTAGCTAACGAGTCCCTCAGGCCTAGACTGAAACCAGCAGTGCAGCAGACTCAGAGGATTACCATGACAAAGGTCTGTGGTCGGATGCAGTGTGATGAAGGCATGGTTAAGATGAAAAAGACACTCGCTGTATTCACACACTCTCGTTGGGGGTCAGACGACGGCTCTCCAAAGCATCTGAGCTTTCACGACGTGGTAGGACATGCCTGTGCATCTTAGACGTCGGTCCCCAGGGAAACGGTGGCTTTATTCAGACGGAGACTAAATGTGACACAGACTCGTTTTTTTTTTTTTTCTGAGAACATTCCCTGTTGAGTGTTTTCTCTTGGCAATCAGTGGATTCCTTCAACGGTCATGCAGTTCAAACACACAACGTATGTTGTCAATTTATACCATAAAATCAATTCAGCTCGTTCCGTTAGGACGATGGAACGCATCTACATCAATGGACCACATAAACCAAAATCAATTCTTACTGTCACAATAAAAACTTTGTGACCCTTTTATCAAAACTGATTCCCAGCTCATTGAAGAAAGTGCAGACACCCTTCACTAAGAATATTTGAATAAAGATTACCGTACCAACTTGCTGCACTACGGAGGAGTGACAGGTTGGTGTTTTTGTGCGTTTGTGTGTTTTTGTTTTTGTGCATGAGCATGAGATGATACATATTAGTGGCCT